AGTGTTTGGTTTGGACTAAATAATCTAAACCCTCAATAAATGTGCCCCTAGTGTATTTGCCTTCTGTGGGCGGCATATTTGTCCACCAAATCAAGCTTCGCACCCACCTGGTAGCATTTTTAAGTTTTTTTTTTTTTGGATTATCCACAAGATGGCTTTTCTCCAGTCTATTATGAACATGCTGTTAAGCTTGTGGGATTCATTACCAATTATGTTTTGATAATCTGAATCGTTTAATGTGTATAATTTGTCGAGAATTTTATATTTGCAAAAAATCACATTGATCGGATATCAATAGCCCCTTGATCGGAATGTATTTTTGTTAATTATTTATTTTTAAAATCATATTTATCATAGACAAAAATGTATTCTGATCAAGAGACTATCAATATTCAATTAATGTGATTTTTTGTAGTCATAAAGTGCTCGATGAATTTTATACATTGAACGATTCAGATTATTAAAATGACATTCGTGATAAGCCTAACAGGTTCAACAGTACGCTTCACTCTAGTATAAAGACCTGAGATAAGCCTTTCCCTATTTAGAAAGGGTAGGGTTTCTTTGGTTTCTATCTTAACTTTATTTTATAGGGACATTTCCGTATATCATTTATTAAAAAAATTTGGTCATTGGATAATTGGAGTCTATTCATTTCAATGCATTTGTCTCAGAAAAAAAAAAAAGAAAAAAGAAAAAAAAGATGATAAATGTATTTTTAAAAATAAATTATCAATTTTTTAAATATAAATGCGATAAACAAAAAGATTATAATCATCAAATGATTTAAATTTCTTTTATGAATGATATATATATAGAGAATTTTACAAAATATATTATTCAAATTATTAAAATAAGACTTTTGGTAGGTATACATGAGTTGTGACAACACCCTTCAACTCAAATTATGGATTGAACTTACACCCATTTAAAATAGTTAATTTTTTGCTAAATAAATCAATAAATAAATAAAAACATAAGTAATAAAGGCACACCTAATAAAATCATTTAAAATAAAATTAACACAATAACATCATCCACTATAGTAATTATGTACCATAAAAAAATAGGTAAATTAAAAATACGCTTTTTTGAGGTTGCTTAAAATAAAATTGTTTACCATGCTTTTGGAAATTATATCATGTCTTTTCAAATTTCTAATCATAAAACAAATTATTCGTTTTATTAATAAATTATCAAATTAATTAATAGTTTTTAATGATATCAAAAATATATTTCAGTTAACAATTCAAATAATCTTATTATTGTATAAGAGAATAATTATAATTTTTATTTTTTATATTAATTTTATTAAATAAAAAATTCTAATAAAAAATATTTATAGTGTTCAAAATCACCAGCTGACAAATGAGCTTAATTTGTATAAAAGAGGGTGGGTTTAGGTCCTGATATTAAAATTTATAGATAGACATTTAGGGCTTATTTGGTTTGTGTTTCCAAAAATTTTTTGAGAAAAATTCTCTACAAATAAGTTTTCAAAAGTAATCAAACCAAACAAATTTTTTCAAAAAAATTTCCCAAAACTTGTTTGGTTTACAAGTTTTCCAAACAAATCTCTCTCTCATACACATCAAATCAATCACTTTTTCCAAAACTCTCTCTCAAAATAATTTTTTAAAACATCTTTTCAAAAAAATCAAACCAAACAACTTTTCGTACTTTTTATCTCTAAAACTCATCTCCCAAACTCAAACCAAACATACCCTTAATATTTTCATAATGTCTAAGGTCCCTCAACATTGAACCAGAAAAATTTCCGTCCAGAGAAATTTCAACCCAGAGAAATTCTGGGCTTCCAAAGAATTTCTATGGGTTTAAGACTTTGAACATTCAAATTTCTCTGGATCTATGAATTAACATAAAAAAAAAAATCACAATATCAGCAGCCCTCAAAATGACACACCATTTGCCTACATTTGCACTTTGAATGAACACACATCAACAATGTAGAAGGTGATCAATCTTGTAATCAGACATGACAAAGTGAATGCATAGAAATCCATAACTGAGTACCCATTCTTAAATGTTAAAATCAGTGCCTTTGATTTTATCCAAAATGCAAACATAAGAACTTCTAACTAATTTCTTCACCTTGCACCACACCAGATGCTTATTTTAACAAAACCAGCTCATTCCTTGTTTTTTATAAAATCCACAAGATTGCCATGGGCATTGCTTCCCAAAGTAATTTCTTCACCTGTTTGAATTGCAGCGTTACCACCAGAGAAAATTCAAACCAAGAATTTCTCTCCAGAGAAATTCAGAATTTCTTTGGATTCTCTGTCTGTGTTTTAACCAAATTTCTCTAGACTTCGAAATTTCTCTCTAGAGAAATTCTGCTCCAGAGAAATTCAGTGAGCACACCGTCCTGACAAATAGTAGAGATCTAATCAGTATTAGCATTAGCATTCTCAGGCAACACAAACTTCCTTATCAACTTCCCAACCCTCCGCCTGAACCTTGATGAAGGCAATGATGGAGACCAAGATAGCGAACTGTGGCTCGGACATAGTAGCCACGTTGAAGATGACGCATAACGAGCCATGAACCAATGAAACCTGAAGCTCCGGTCACGTACACGGTGGTTCCACCACCACCACCATAACCATTCTTCACTTCCACTACTTCCATTACGCAAGAGAGAGAGAGAGAAGTTGAGAAGTTTAGGGGTATTCATTGGTCATCAGTTTGCTTTTATTCATGGTTGCAGAGCCACGAGAACAAGGCCTCTAGAAGCGTGGCTAGGAATCAAGATCCTGTCCCCCTGACTTCAGCCCAGGCATGTCGATGATGAGCACGCATGAGTTCGGGTACTCCTTTACGTCCGCATGTGTTGCCGCCATGGCCTTGGCGTCACAGACGTAGTTGCGCGACGCTACGTTGCTGCGTCGGCAGAAGCTTCGGATGCTTCAGCCACATCCATCATGTGCTGGAGAGTATAGCCTCAAATCCATTTTTTGATGAATTGGTATTGGAATTGGAATTGGAATTGGAATGAAGTGAAATTGTTTCGAATTTGGAGAGGGAGAAGTTTAGAATGAGAGACAGAAAAAAAAAATGAGGTTTGATTCCAGAGTGTCAAATTTCTCTGTGATATATGGGTGTGGAAGTTGAGGGACCTTAGACATTATAAAATAAAATTGTGGATCTCTTCCATTACTAAATATGGAAGAGGGACCTTAGACTAATTTTTTCAAAAAAAAGAGAGGGCATTTATACACACAAGTCTTAATTTATAAAATTATGCTTCATTAAATCTTACCAAAGATTTTTTGGACCTTCAAGTTTTATTAATTTTTTAATAGTTTGAATTGCTCTTCAAATAATGATTTCTCATCATTTATGATTATCTCTAAAGGTACACAATGATTTGACATTTATTTTGATTTTTAAAACTTTAAAATATCAACTTTAAAATTGAAAAACTTAAAGAAAATATATAAAAAAAACTAATCAGTGTGTTTGGTTTCAATTTGTTGAAAATTTAATTTTTTATTTTTCATATATATATATATATATATATTTTAGTGAATATTATTAAAATTTTAAGTAATTTCTTTTACTTTTTTTGTTGCACCTTATTTATATGTATCTAAATAGTAAAATATTTGTGAAAAAATATTTTAAAAAATTAATAAATACAAAAAAAATACAAAAAATGTATTAAATTTTCATATATTTTTTAATATTTTTTGGTATTTAGTGAATTTCTTTAAAAAAAATTCACAAATATTATATTTTTTAAGTGTATTTATGTTAGGTGTTTCTAAATTCTTTTAAAAAAATGTTTAAAATATTAAAAACAATTCAGTGAAAATAAAAAAATATGAAAAACAAAAAAGTAGAATTTTCTGAAAAGTGAATTCTGAAAATGATTTTTTTTAATAAAAATTGAAAAATCTGAATTATTTTTTATAAAAAAATAAAAATTTTGTATCTATAAATGAGCATGATAATGGAACATTGATGTGCAAAACTAAAAAGGAAAAAAAAAACTTTAAAAATGAAAAAATTGATAATATTTTTTATTTTAAAACGGAAAAAACACTAGTAATATATTCAGTTTTATAGGATAGTTAAATCAAACCAATAAATAAAAGGGCAAAAATGTTTAATCTCGTATTTTTTTTTTTTATCAATTAGTGAAATATTTATTTGAAACATTACTATACAAAAAATGATAATATTTAAAAAATCTTAAAAATTCAAAAAATGATAATATTCTTAATTTAATTAAATAAGACTTATTGATTTAAAAGAAAGGAAAGAAAAGCAAAAAGGATGGGGGTGGAAGGTTCTCCTCCGACACAAGAGAGGAGAGTATTACACGGTTAATTGGATGCTTACGTGTCTCCTCCTAAGCAAAGTTCCCTTCACTATTACTCTAAAGATTACAAGTGGCTTCCTCAGGAAGGAACTTGGAAGCATGATGGATTGGATCAGATCAGATACTTACAAAGGTGGCCCCCACGAGAGCCAGATACCGCGTACCCGCAACTAATAATATCTCTCTTCTCTTACCCTTTTTCCTCTTTCTCTCGAAGGACAAGTTGTCGATTGATTCTGGAAGACTGCCACGTAATGTTTTATATATATTCTAATTAATTAATGAAAAAAATATAAAAAATAATTAATTAAGAATATAATCCGTGAGGCTAATGAATCAACTAATAATTTTAAATTTTATTAGATATTACTCATATGAAATTTTATGAAATATTTAATAAAAATTTTCATATTCATAACGATAATATTTCATCTTTAAGCCAGGCCAAGCCGCCTCTCATGTTCCCGCTACCCAGCCAGTCAAACCCACGAGGTTTGACCAAAAACCCACATAAAAATAAAATAAATAAAATATTTAATTTTCCACGGTCAAACATCTCTCGAGCTTCTACGAAGATGCCTCCGCCAACACAGCCGTGTGTGTAGTAAGAAAGAAAAGCAAAACACACTAAACAAAAACTAATAACTAGAGAGAGAGAGAAAGAGAGAAACCCCATTTACACATTTTCATTTTCACTTCCTCTCCTCTCCTTTCCTCTCTCTCTCTCTCTCTCTCTCTCACTCTCACACACCTCCTCCAGGCTCCAGCCCAGCCACCACCCACCACTCACACACCTCCTCCAGGCTCTCTAAAACAATAATAATGGCTTCTTCTTCAGAAATCACAACACCATCAAACTTTTCTTTCCCAAACCCATTCATGTCTTTCTCCGACCTCCTCGCCGAAGACTACCCTTCCACCACCACCACCGCCGCCGCCGTCAGTCGCGGACTCTCCGATAGAATAACCGAGAGAACCGGTTCCGGTGTCCCCAAATTCAAGTCAATTCCACCTCCTTCCCTCCCCCTCTCCCCTCCACCTGTCTCTCCTTCTTCTTACTTTGCAATCCCTGCTGGTTTAAGCCCTGCTGAGCTCTTGGACTCCCCTGTCCTCCTCTCTTCTTCCAACGTACGTATATGTTTCTTTTCTCTGTTTGGTTGCTAAGAAAACACTTTATGGGAAACAAACACAAACAAAAATACCATCATCAAATACAATACAACAGTATGAATCAAGTCTTTCGCTTTGCCCTGTTTTCATTTCCACTTTCTTTACCCTGTTTTGGATTCTAGGAAACCAAAAACTTTGCCCACTTGATATTTTTTCTGTCCTCTGATTTTTCAGTAAACAAACAGCGGATTAGTAGGATTAATAACCCATAAGTTAACTTATGTTCTCGGTGCTCTGTTTCTTTTTGTGTCTTTGATGTATGTATGTGTTACGTATTAAAATGATATTACTGTTTCTATGTATATACAGATTCTACCATCTCCAACAACTGGGAGTTTTCCAATTCAGCGCTTCAATTGGAAGAGCAATTCTAATAATCATAACCAGGATATCAAACAGGAACGAAAGAACTACTCTGATTTCTCTTTCCACACCCGAACAAGGCCTCCAACGACATCATCCACAACAACTTTTCACTCTCAAGTTGTAAGTTTTCTCAGTTTCTACAAATTCATTCCCACTTATCTCATATTTTCCTCTTGACTCTCTCAATCTGATAATTTGTTCAAATTTTCAGGGAAACCAAACATGGAGTTTCCAAGAAACTACCCAGCAAGAGGGTATGGTCAAATCTGAATTGGGTTCCATGCAGCAGGCCTACTCACCCGAGAATTCCACAATTCAGACCAATTCTCAAAGCAACAACAATGGGTTTCAATCAGATTATAATCAGTATAACCAGTCATCATCTATAAGAGAGCAGAGAAGATCAGAAGATGGATACAATTGGAGGAAATATGGACAGAAGCAAGTGAAAGGGAGTGAAAATCCGCGGAGTTATTACAAGTGTACATTCTCTAATTGCCCAACTAAGAAGAAAGTTGAGAGATCAATAGATGGGCAAATCACTGAGATTGTTTATAAGGGTAATCATAACCATCCAAAGCCTCAGAATACTAGGAGATCATCTTCATCAGCTTCTTCTCAACCAATTCAACACTCCAATGAAAACCCAGATCAGTCCTTTGCCTCAAATGGACAGATTGATTCAGTTGCTACGCCCGAGAATTCTTCCATCTCAATTGGGGATGATGATTTTGAACAGACCTCTCAGAAGACTAAATCAGGTGGAGATGAGTTTGATGATGATGAACCTGATGCCAAAAGATGGTAAGCTTGATTGAATTAGTTTCTCAATTTTTTATTCAAATCAGAACATAGAAATCGATCACAGAACTGGACACAACAGCTGTTCCTGCCTGTTCCTGCCTTTCTGTGAGGTCCCACACATGTGAAAGGGTTCTGTGATTGATTTCTGTGTAAGTAGAAGGATCGGGTTTCTGGTCTTCTTTGATTCATGAGTAATTTGTGAGGATGTGGTTTGATTTTCTTGTAAATTTTCCAGGAAAATAGAGGGTGAGAGTGCAGGAATGTCAGGGGCAGGGAACAGGACAGTTAGAGAACCAAGAGTTGTAGTGCAGACAACAAGTGATATTGATATTCTTGATGATGGGTACAGATGGAGGAAATATGGACAGAAGGTGGTTAAGGGAAATCCTAACCCAAGGTATTTAAAAAAAAAAAAAAAAGAAGCTAGCTTTGATTGTACTTTTGCTACTACTTTTGTCTAATTTGGAAAGGTTTATGCTTTCAAAGTTCATGTTTTTATAAAACATACCATTTTCAAGGTTACCTCAGAAAGTGGATTAGGTTCCAACAGTTTGCCTTTTTGAGGCATTCTTGGGATGCTTTAATCTTTGTGCTTCATTGGCCTGTTTAGTAGAGTTGTGAGAGTGTTTATAACTTATACCTTAACAGCTTATAACTTATAATTATGAATATAAGTTGATTTTTGACTTATAAATTAAGGTTCTCCTGCCCCACTCAAAGAATAAGCTAATTTCTGACTTACAAAAAGATATAAGTTGCATTGTTAAGTTAAACCAAACATATCAAAATAGCTTAAAGTTAAAATAAGCTGGAAAAAAAACTGTACCAAACAGGCCATTATACTGTTTTAGTCCTACGTTTTAAGTTGTACTTTTTGACCCAATCAAGAACTATGAACTAGTATTATTCTTTTCATTTTTCTGTTCATTCTGGGTTTTTCAGTTTCTCTTTCCTTAGTATTTTTTTTTTTTTTCCCAATCGATCAGTCTTTTGGATCGATCTCTATAAAATACATATAATCGTTGATAATAATTCTAAAATTTGACAATCTGTCAAAACTTGTATAGCTATTGCAACTCAAATAGCAACTCCAATGGAATTGCTTTAACATCACTGTTAGCATGACCCTATCATATTTGTGATTGTTTTTCAATAGGAAGTGTTCTACAAGGTTCTCTAATATTTTGTGTTTTATGTCTAACTTGTAGGAGCTACTATAAGTGCACAAGCCAAGGTTGCCCAGTGAGAAAACACGTCGAGAGAGCTTCCCAAGACCTAAGATCCGTGATCACAACCTACGAGGGCAAGCACAATCATGACGTTCCCGCTCCACGCGGTAGTGGCGGCGGCAATAGCATCCATTCTGTCAACCGGCCTTTGGCCAATTCTACTACCAACAACAATGCAGCCATGGCAATTAGGCCTTCAGCAATGCCCCACCAATCCACCACCGCTACCACCACCATCATGACTAATCCAATTCGCAATTCGAGGCTCCAAACATCCGAAGGCCAAACACCCTTCACCTTGGAGATGTTGCAGAGTCCCGGGAGCTTCGGATTCTCAGGATTTGGGAGCTCTAACTACATGAATCAGTCTCAACACACAGACAATTATATGTTCTCAAGAACCAAGGAAGAACCTAGGGATGACACCTTCATCGACTCGTACCTACGATGAATAGTTTTTAATTTTTTTTTTTCTTTTTTTGGAAGGATTAAGATTACAATCAATAACTAGGAGGTATGAAGGTTTTGATTCATTGGTTTTAGTTGTGTCATTTTTTGTTTGCTCTTTTGGTGTATATTTCTACAGGGGATTTTTTTTTTGTATATTAAAAGGAAATATGATGTAGAAGTTGCTCAGGTTTTTTTCTTTTGTTTTATTTATTTATTTATTTATTTTTCCAAGGCCTAAAAAGTGTAGAGCGTCAATTCATTGTGGTACAACGTGTAGTGGATTTTTTTTTTTTTTTTGTCCTTTTTCTTTGTAGATGTACTCAAAAGGAATTTAGTTATTTTTCCTCAGTCGAAATGAAAAAATAAATAAATTGTTCTTATCTTTCTTGGTATGTATTTGATTTTAAAAAAATGAACTTGTTGAAGCACATTTTGTTTAGAATGTGGGTTAATTTTTTAATTTTTTGACTAGTTTAGGGTTAAAAAGTCTTGTTTATGATGAAAATTTTAATTTTTTAAATTTTTATGAGAGAAAAAATAGAGTGACTATGATTTGGACGTGATATTTTATTTTATTAAGTTAAAAAGTTTATTTTATCTTTTTGTAATTATTTTAGTCTTAATTTATCCCAACTTACTATGTCAAACCAGTGCTTAAGGAATAATTTCACATCATGTATTTGTAAATAGAATAAAGATTTTTTCCTCGAAAAGTCTTTCCCCGAATCCCTTGAAAAATGAAGAGGGGGAAGGTAAGAGAGAGAGAGGGAGAAAGAGAGAGGAGAGGAGAGAGGGAAACAGAGAGAGAGAGGGAGAGAAGAGGGAATGGAGAGAGAGAGAGCCCCCTTCGCAGCTCGTCACAGATCGTCGCAGCTCGGCCTCCGTCGACGATTGCCGCACCTCCGCCCCTTGTTGATGGCCCCTCCAGTTCTTCTTCTTCTTTCTCTTTTTCTTCTACTTCTTCTTCTTCCTTATTCTTTTCTGATTTTCTTCTTCTGAAAAAAAAAGAAAAAAAAAAATCAAAATGACGAAACGACGTCGTTTTGATTTCGGGGAGATTCGGAGAGGACAGGTTCGAGCTGCCAATCACTTCTGTTGTAAATAATGTTCATAGATACTTCTGAGATGTAAATTTCCCTTACTTTTGTAAAAATAACTGATGTATTATTATTGATTTGTGTATATTACAAGATTGTTGTTATTACAAGATGATTTGTGTATATTGATTACAACTCCTATATATAGAAGAGAAGGTAGCAGATTGTGGTGGTGCTGGTAGGGGGTGAAGTGGAGGTGGTAGGTAGAGTGGGTTAGGTTTAGTGGAGTTGAGTGGGTGTAGTGGGTTAGGTTTAGTGGTACATTAACAACTTTAATGAAGTTGGAGAGAATCATTTATTCAATCACAAATATTGACTGCAATAGTAACATTATTTTAGGTGATGTTATTGGTTCATAAAATACTACAAATGGAATTAAATAGGCAATTATTGTCTCATTAATTCAACTATAGTTTCTACTATTATAAGAATAACTTTACATATAGTATTATTCATATCTGAAATTTTTAAAATTATATCGCATCATCTGTTAGTAATATAAATTTTTGGGTAATATATTAAGCTCTCTTGAAGGTTTAGAAAAATAATAGTAAGTCTCCTAATTTTAAAATAATTACAGTGATTTTTCTTACAATAAGGTTAAAGGGATTATAATTAATATAGATGATGTGAATATCCAATAATAAATAAGAATAATTATACATTTCAGTGTAAAGTGATAACAAAATAATTTGTCATCCACATAATTAATGATTTATTGATAAAAAAAATGTTAAGCATGATTTTAATTAAAATATTAAAATAGCTCAATATAATTATGTCAAAATTACAAAATTTGTCATATATATATTTCTTAAATTTCAAAAAAGATCAATATGGTGTACCCTAAGATTTTGTATTAATTATGCCAAATTATCATTATATCTATACTTTTATGGATTTATAATTTTTTAAATTTCTTTTCTAATTAACAAATGTGAGATTTTAATAAAAATGTAGTAATTTACCCTAAAATGAAGAATAAAAATGATCGTAAATTTGGCCGTTTCGTTTGTCACGTGTTGCAATCGTCATTAGTTACAGCGTCAAAAATATAAAAGCTTTGAATGGGTCAGAGATTTGTGGCCGACGATATTACTTTGGATGGCTGGTACACTGTTAAAGGTCAACTCTTTAACTTAATTTAAATTATGGGTTGTTGTTGGTGCTCAAAAAAAATTATGGGTTGTTTTTGGAAAAATGGTTAAAAATTAGTTTTTTGATTTTTTTTGAAAAATATGTAAAAAATATAGAGGTGATGTGATTCAAATGGGTTAAAGTTAAGAAGTGATTTTTAACTGACTTTCTAAAAATATACTTTTTGAGGTATGCTTAAAGTATAGATGGTTCCTTGTAATTTAGAAAATTACAAATATCCCCTTGTTAGAAATTTTTATTTACCAAAATTAACTAAAAAAATGAAATTCATAATTGCTCTGTTATACATTAAAAAATTACTTGAATTATTAATTGAAACATATTTCTAACATCATTAAAAACTGTTAATTGACTTGATGATTTATTAATAAAATGGACGATTTGTTATAAAATTAGAAATATCAGGAGTAGAATATAATTTTCAAAATCACAGGAGGCGATTCGTATTTTAATTAAATCTCATGAGATGCATTTATAATTTACCCTTAATTTATTTATTTATTTTTGGACAAATGTTAAGTAATGTTTGGATAGTGTTATCCATAGGGTGGACAAATGGTGGCCCGGACTAGATTCGGGTCAGATTGACACTATGAGGTGTTTTGAAAAGCTGGTAAAAAGTTAATTTTTAATTTTTTTAGTTTATTTTGTTTTTTTGTGGGTAAGTTATATGAGAGGTGATGTGATTCAAAATAGGTAAAAAGCTGGAAGCTGACTTTTTACCAGATTCCCAAAAAACTCTTATAGAATAAGGGATTTTGTATCTATTCAAGTCCGATCCTGATCTTAATATCGGTTCTTTATATCTGCCCAAGCCCAATCCAAAAAATAATTATAAATCCCAAACCTGTGCCATCGGATTGTATGTTCAAAAAAAATTAAAACATTTCATAATTAAATTTACTCACAGATTATATTTATTAAATAAATATATTAATATCTTTATAAATTGAAAGGTTTTATGTATAAATTGAAGATTTTCTTAAATAAATTCAATCACACATCACTACAAATATGAGTTTCAATAAAATCAATAAAGATAAAGTCTACATTCCAACAAAAAATATATATTTTAATATATTACAAGTTAAAAAAAATTTAAAACATTTCATAATTAAATTTACTCACAGATTATATTTATTAAACAAATATATTAATATCATTATAAATTGAAAAGTTTTATGTATAAATTGAAGATTTTCTTAAATAAATTTAATATCATTATAAATTGAAAAGTTTTATGTATAAATTGAAGATTTTCTTAAATAAATTCAATCACACATCACTACAAATATGAGTTTCACTAAAATCAATGAAGATAAAGTTTACATTCCAACAAAAAAAATATATATTTTAATATATTATAAATAAATAAATAATTTAATAACGAGTCGGACCGGATTGAAAGTATAAATCTCAAACTTAACCCATTAATATTTCGAACTGAAAATGCTAACCCAGCCATGTTTTATGGGTTAAAACAATCTTCCCAAACCCTAAAAAAATAAGATTAAGTCGGGACAGACTGAATGGGTCAACGGGCCAATATCCACCTCTAATTATACATATTTGTGATTTTTAAAGTAAAGTCACAATACCCATCTAAGGAAAAAAGAAAAATAAGAACAGTTATAGTAATTTATAATATCCAAATATGAAAAAAAATTTATAATATCCAATTATGAAAAAAAATTAGATATATATTTATCTATATATTTATGTTAGAGGTTGAGGGTACCGAAAGTTTACTTGTCAAGTATAATCTCTTACTTTTTAAATTGCAAGAAATTATACGGTAATTTTACACCACAAATCTACATCATTACACCTTTTGGCTTTTCTATTTACACCCCATTCAAAAATTCAAAAAAATTATTTTGTTTATTTACCCTTATACCTAACATCTTTCTTCTCCATACACTCAATCTTCAAATCCTTTCCACCTCCAACCACCGCCCTCCAAGGATGGATCTAGCGGTGTGGATAGGGACTAGCACACTTCCAAAAATTTTAAAAATTATACATATTATATTAATAATTAACAAGATAATTTCAAATTAAAATACTCGGCACCCTTAAAATATCAATAGTTTGTATTTTTCTAATTATTTACATTATAAAATTTAAAAACTAATTTCTAAATTGAGTTTTATCAAATATTGATATATTCTATTTGTTATCTGTATTATTTGTTATATTTCTATATTATTTAAAGTTACTTGTATTATTTTATTTGTTTCCATTTGTTACTATTCTTATTTTCTGTTCATATGTCATTTATGTTTTTTGCTTCTTTTATAAATCACAATTTAATTTGCTTATGTATCTTATTTTGCATTTATTCTTATTTGTTCTTTTTCTAACAAGCTACTTGATCATATTTATTGAGAAAGATATTAATTAAAGTTTTGTCGAGGTAACTTTACTAGACAGAGACATAGTAATAGTTAATATTTTGTTAAGTTGATGTAGACAAGAAATATGTCTAATTATATTTTTGTTCTCAATTATATTGACAAAGAATGTCTGATTAATAGTAATATTATTGTGTTTGTGTGTGTGTGCTGGTATAAATCAAAATTTTAAATTTTAAATTACTTTTTTTTGATGAAAAAGGTACATGTGTTTTTGCTGTCCGAAGCTCAAATCTTAAATCTGTCCCTGCCATCCCCACTTCCACTTCCATCTCCTCTCTCGTCCCTGTCGGCACTACAATCTTTTCCCCAACCACAATCTCCACCCCGATGACCCTCATTCCAGACCTCTATTATTGCGATCCTCTTCAATTCCACGACCTCATCTTCTCTGTTTTGAACCAAACACTCACAACTGCTTTACCTAAGGGAGAGAGTTTCAAAACTAGGGTTTGGAGGAGAAGGAGAAAAAGAAGGGGTTAGGAGAGAAGAAGAGGTTGGGGCGGCTGCGGCGGGTTGCAATAGTGATAGTCCGGTGAAGGGGGTCGAAAATACGGTAATTAAAATGGGAAATTAGTGTTTGAAGTGTTAAAGTTTGAGA